AATGTCTCAATCAATTCCATGGGTGCCCAACACCCCCCCGGGCGTTTGTCGGGCATTCTCAACTGTACTTGTTCCCAGGGTCGGGCATTTGCTTTCTGCAGGTTAGCCCCGGGGTGGGGAATTTGCTCGAGGCTAAAAAGTCGAATATTTATCGCTTGTTTCGCCATTTAGCCGTACTTTAGTATGCATGTTTACACGAGCGTGCGTATCGTAAATTAATCATGGCGGAATAACACAAGACTTTTTTCTTGTCCATCCTGTTGACTTCTGCAGTTTGATATTGCTATATAAAGTTTTGAGACTTTAATATTTTAATTAAAAACGTTTTAAAACAAAATGCCTATAGAATCGATTTTAAATACAGATATATTGATACGTGATAGAGCTTGGATTCGATTTTTTGGATCAGAAATCCTCAGAAAACTTATATTTTGTCCCCCAAGGGTGGGGCATTTGCGTCAATATAAGTCCCCAAGGGTGGGGGATTTTGTTGCATTATTTGGACCCCATACTGGGGCATTTGCAACGTTTTTTCGCCAAAATGACAAACGCCCGGGGGGGTGTTGGCCAACACCCATGGAATTGATTGAGACATAACATAGTCAGCTATATCGTTCTCTGCTATATTAAAAGACAATGTCAATGTTGAATAACGTAGTGGGCTACTGGGCTTATATTCGGGGGACTTATATTTGGGGGGCTTATATTCGGGAGGGCTTATATTTGGAATGAGGTAAGCATTAGTATATGTGGTGGGCTTATATTCAGGGGGGGGGCTTATAGTCGGAGGTTTACGGTATGCATCCGCAGAAACAACTTCAGCATATATTCCACAGGAAATGTTAGGCAGTGTTGGAATGTGATGGATATGCCATAAATTGTGGATTTTGTATAAACTGAAAGGTTTTCACAAAGCTGTCCTCCAGGTTCAAAATATAGTCAAGGAAACACTTGCCTATACAGTATGGGATCGCTGCGGTGCTGGTAATGCCTCAAGTCTGGAAAAGCTTTAATGGTGTGCTGCTAGGATTGTGTCCAGAATACCTGAGAGTGATAAAGCAATGAACATGTTGAAGTGGCCTTCTCTGCAGAGCAGGCGAGACGACAACATTTTTAAATTAGTCAATAAATGTATTCAGGGACGTTGTCCGCAACTTTTTAAAAATTATTTTACTCTTAACAGCTCGGTACATAGTAGAGTGACTAGGCAGAGTCATAAACTGCACTTGCCTCGAGTACGAACTGAACAGGCAAAGAAATCCTTTTATTACAACGGTTGTGTTGTATATAATAATAAGCAAAAATAGTTTTATTCTCTAGTATATATATATATAGTATATTGTTTTAATACCTAATTGTCATATAGCATGTAAAGATTGTATTTTTTTTTTAAATAGTAGGGCTCCAGTTTACTACTGATTGGACTACCCTGTTTAAATAAAGGTGTCAATCAATCAATCAAATGCATGTGTAATCCTCCAGAAGCAAATTCTTCAACTCCAAAGTTTCTTTACATCAGGATCGACATAGTCAGTATGCCTCTGATAACTGCAGTACATCATGCATTGAAAGAAAGATGCAACATAGTTCCCTTATTTAAAAAAATGTATAAAGAAACTTTGGAGTTGAAGAATTTGGACACCAGCAGCAATGCTTCTGGAGGATTACACATGCAGTGTTTCCACACATGCAGTTTATACAAAATCCACAACAGTTGGTGGTGAGCTGCTGAAGCTCCTTAATTGCATATCCATCACATTCCAACACTGCCTAACATTTCCTGTGGAATATATACTGAAGTTGTTTCTGAGGATATATTATACAATCAAGTTTGGGAACAGGAACTTTGCATCTAAAAAAAGAAAGCAGAAAATACATCAAAGTAACCCACTTATAAACCACAACATTTATGTAAATATACTTTTGAGAAACTAGGTGGTAAAGGCCACGATTATTATTTACCATATATAAAAAACATCAGTTCAACATTAAACATATCAAGACCAAGATTTAACACTGATATTTTAAAAAGATTTTATAATTATTGCCATTGAACAGAACGGTGTATTTGTCAGGAGTCATTGTTTATACTGTTGCATATAGCACACGATTTTATCACAAAATTGTGTAAAAATAACTCCAAGAAAGAACATAATATAAACGTAAATAGTCCGGGAAAGTTATATCTAACGACATTTTTTTAGATATCCAACATATCATCCATTTACATGAACAGTTCCATTAGCACTTTATATGCGTATCTTGCGTCCACATTCAGCTCACTCTTACGAACGATTCCAATCACTTTAAATACAGTTCTTAATCTCATAAATACAAAAATACACTCCTCTTACCTTCCCCTTTAATGTACTATCCACAGAAAATACGATAAAAGACAAGATCACGAAAATTTTCCATTTTATTACTGAAAATACACTTCTCGCCAATACATTTCCCTATTATACTTGCTGCAATCTACTTGCCAGCAACATGGCGGCCGTCAATTTTCGGTGCGAGGCGGCAGCGTCAAAAACATCAAAGGAGTGGGCCATCTATTCATTCTTTAATCTATGCCTAGGCCTTCTAGTCTTATTTATATTTTTTTAATATTCAGCGCTTTTTCACATGAAAAGAATGAGACTAGGTGATTTGGGGGCGGGGCGGAGGAAGCAAGCCTAGAAGGCCTAGTGGATTTCCCAACAACAAGGCCAAAACTGCCCTGAAACTGCCCTGGTTGCGAAATGCCCAATTATTGCGTTCTCAAACAGAATTGTTTGCAACTTAACGGCGAATTTAAACCGATACAGGTAAAATCAACTCATTTATAGTATAAACTTACTATTTTTATTTGTATACACGTCTAGAAAATCGGTTTTTTTATCATAAAGTTCGAAGCAACACTGTTATTTAATATGTTGACAAGGTGTAGCGAAAGCACAAAATGAGTCAAAATATATACCAAAAGTAGAATCTTTCATGAAATTTTGTCTTATACACAACTACATTAATATATA